GAGAGAGAGAGAGAGAGAGAGAGAGAGAGAGACCTGGAATATGAAGTAATATATTTATGTCCATAAAAGAGATACAAGTGACTAATGGTTTCGTTTGAGAACTTAGAAATCAGTCGAATCCGACTTAATATGTGTTGTAAAGTATTTTCACAAATTTTTGTTAAGTCAGAGCCAACCAAAAGACGTTCAATTGACTACAATTAAGAATATTTAATTAATAAGTATTTATTACAAAACAATTAATTAAAAGCATTAATTAATTGTATTAATTTTATAACCGTTTGAAGACTCACTTCTAACATGAAAGTCATTGTAGAACTCAATCTCAGCCACTCGTCAATCATATTGAATGTAATTTTCATTAAATGATAATTATTTGCTAAACAATGGATGAGTGGACCGAAAATAAATTTAATTATTTGCGCAAATATATCGACTCTTCTTTGCATTAAAACTTTATCTTCAGATTCTTTATAAATATAAAGTAAAAAGAATTCTTGACTCTAAATGTGTTATAAAGTGATCACAAATTATATCCAATGATATATAAAATGGTAAATTTGTTATTCTTTACCTTAGAATAGACGGCATTCATAGTTCCCAAACAGTCAAACTTCACACCCGAAGCGTCGCTCAAATATCTTTGAGAGACAACGAATGGAGTGACAAATACTGATAATAGGTTTCTCATCACTTGATTGTCACCAACTTCTTGACCGTCGGCTTTGCATCCATTTTCGACCGCAAACTCAAGCAAATAGTTTTCAAATTGTTTATTAAATTTGCTGGAAATGAGATTATTCTGCGGATCAAACACTAAGAGTGCATCCATTTCTTATAATACACACTATTAACACATTTTTCTTATAAAATTGGTCTCAGTTTCATAGACTATGAAAGTTAAGTAAATAAAATATTGTAATTTTCGCATTTCAATTGAAAACACTTGAAATTGCATTGAATTGAATGCGTTGTCTATCGGATGTCTTATCATTTATTTATTTTATCATAAGTTTGTGACATAGACTCAGTTC